AATAAATAATAAAACAAATTCCACATTTGGGCTTTCAGATGCCCATATTTGCAGTAGGATTACATCATTCAAAATTGGATGGTACTAGGTACTGTTGTTTTATCACAATGCAAGAAACATACATACATTTATGCAGATTCTTAATTATTAAATTTTTTCAAATACAGTCAAAAGTCGTTAATTTGGACATCCATAATCTGGAATGATCTATAATCCGGACCTCAAAGCTAAAAACTTTCTGCGCATGCACCGCGTTGACACATGCACATAGGCGTTTACGCGTGCACGTAAGACCTTTACAACTGCGCATAATGCGTGTGCGCGAGTGCAGAATACGTTTTTGCGTGCGCATTTAATGTATAACGGATGGTATAAGCTAAAATTATCTATTTCAGTTAATGTTGATGATTGCGTTCTTCCTTAATCTTCGAACTGGGATCCGGCTTATTTACTTTTTTTCAGACTGTAAGAGCAATTTTATAAAAGTAAACTTGAACTTTCTATTATGTCAAATAGAAATTTCCGATGCTGGAGTTCCCCAAAGGATCTACAAAACGAAAGTATGTTTCGATGTCCATCAAAAAAAAGTGGAATTGCTGCAAAAAATGGATAAAAGACATGAAGAAGGTGACAGAAAGGTTAGTGAAAACGAAAAAATTTCGATTGACAAGTTAGTCGGTATTCTCGGCACAGCAATTATGGGACTTGAACAGCGGAACTTTGTAACTGAACAAGAAATTATGTCTGTTTTATAGAATTAAAAGAAAAGTATTATCACATAAAAAGAAGCAACTTAAACAACTTACATTGAAAGAAATGTTTAATAAAGTAAACAAATAAATATTAAGCTTTTTTTTTTTTTGTAAAATTTTGATACCCTTTAGATCATAATTGTTCTTTATTTCATAAATTACGGTTTCATATTTTATTTTTTTAGAATTTTTCTTTTCTGCATGCCATCTTACAAGATTTAAACTGATGATCTATAATCCGGAATCGCCGAAGTCCAGACGAGTCCGGATTAACGACTTTTGACTGTATAATGCAGGACTCTAACATTTGGTGGCAAGAGTTTGAAAAGCAATATGCCGTTTATAGTGATTCAACGCAAAATCGTAAAATGAAAACAATATTCCTTCAGGGACAAATCCGCTTTGAACTACAAAATGTTCCTGGGTTAATTAAAACTTAATGCATATGTTAATTTTTATTTAAAACTTTTTCAGTGTAAAACAAAATAATAAATTTTAGTTTTTGATATTAATATCATTCTTAATTAGATTAGGCAATCCTCCCTTTTGAATTCAATCTATTTTTATCATATAAAATGCTCCATTTTATTTTAACTAAAATTCAAAGCATAATCATTAATAGATGAAGGCTTTGAGAGTATGCTTAGTTAAACAAAACATTAACCTGCAGCATATTTCTTTTTGATTATATGATCTTTTACAGATTGAAAATATATGAAAAATATTGTCAGTATTTTAAGAGACTTGCAGCTTTCACCCGGTCTCCTAAAACATAATAACAGTAAATAAAATTTGTTATTAGCATTATTTACAGTGAATCAAGAATCTTGTAGCCATTTTTGAAATTTTGAATGACATTGAAATCATTTGCAATTCCTGATTTGTAAATCTTTGGCTTTTCATCACAATAAAAAGATATGGAATATATACTATAAACTGTTAAAAAGGGCAAGTTCAACTTTATTATTAAATGCTTTATTATTATATGCAAATGATGAATATTATTGCAACTGAAGATTTGAAAGTGACAATTGAAAGAATTGCGAAATTTCTACCAAGCACTAACATTTTCCTATATCACATCCTGAAAATATCTATATATTCATGTATTCTATCAAAAAATGTTGTCAAATAGTGTTACACTGTTTATTTCATTAAGTATTTAAAAATCATTCCTAATAGCACATATTTTTTAAGCAATTTCACATTTAGCATTGAAATCACATTTTTACTGATTTCAGCTCTTATTATATTTCTCAGATCTTTTGTCACTGATACTTAAAATATATATGATTTAGTTAAATGAATTGAGAAATAACTGTATTAACTCCTAAAAAGAAGTTTTTTTTTTTTTTTTTTTTAAACAACACATTTTATATCCTAGGAAATACCAAAATAAAAAAACAAACTTGGATTTGGGGAGGGGCAAAAGCAGATATATATAAAAATTATTTTATTGGTAATGAATTAAAAACTGCAGAAAACTGATCTGAATAAATAACGAATTGAAAGCTGCAAAACGTTTCTATCAGTATTTGAGACAGATATTAAAAACGGGTTTGCAAATACAATTTGACCAAATAAGTTATTAAAAATGGTCTATGCAAGCAATTAAAATTTTAATTTAATAAATCTGCATTTTAATTCATAACAAAATCAGGATAAGCATTTTCAGTACATTTTTAACTTGCTTTATAAAATGTGAGATGTATTACGGTTGTTGTTTCTTATGGCTTTAGATTAAGGCTTTTCTTATTACTGTATTTATAGGAAAATAAGACCCCTCTTTCCACTTTTCTTTTCTTTTTTTTTTTTTTTTTGTTCTAAAAGTTGAAAGGGGCTTATAAACAGATATTTTGAAAAATAAGATTAATCATCATATTCTATAGAATAATAACACTTATTTAAATTAAATAAATATATTTGCAATTAGTAATTAAATAACAACATGACTTATCATTAACTGAAACAGCCACATCTACCTCAGTTATTTTATTTACTTTTTTATCCACGGCACTGATCAATAGTATGCTTGAAAATTAATATAATGGCCTTTGCCCACATCTAACAGCCAGAAATTCTGTAGGAAGGGAGAGGAAAAAAAAAAAAAAAATGATTCTGATTCTCTTTTTTCAGAATTACTGCAAAATGAAATAAATATTCACCTATATTCTTTGTTTCTAAAATTTATCCTAAAATATAAGGAAGGCCTTAAATCTTTCAAATAATATGGCATGTGTGTGTGTATGTATATATGTGGGGATGTTTTATTTAAATGCTAAAAAAACTGTAAAAAAAGAATGAAAAAGAAGCATTTCTTTTCATCAATAAAAATAATTTATTTACATAGCTTCTGGCAAGCATCATCATCATCATCATAATATATTATATATATATATATAATATATATTTCTCTAAGACAATGACTTAGTTCACAACACTTTAAAAAAAAAGCGTCAAACTGCAGCAAATGGACAAAGCACTCAGTTCAACATCTGTCTATGAAAATAGCTGACTTTTCATACAAAATTAAGTACCATGTACTTTATGAAACTATACAACAGGAAGAACACTTTATCTTCTAAATATTATTTTATCAAAGCAGATTGTCATATTGAGCTGGGTTATCAAACACTTATATATAAAAATACAGCTGTGATTTGTAAACAAACCACACAATATTTTTTTTAACAATTTGTGTTTTCAACTTGAGCAACTATTGTTAAAATTTGTTGCAGTTAATTTTGTGCATCTGCAATCTTTTCATTGCAAGTAGACAGATTATCTAAAAATATGGTAAAACTTTCTAACATCACTCACAGACTGCAGTACAGTTTTCAGTACAGTATAGGCACAATATCTTTATCAATCACATTTTTATTTTATTAAAATGTTTATATCAATGGAATAGAAAATGTTCTAAAAAAAACAACCCTCTATATTTCATTTCACTACAATTTTGTTCAATATTAAAAAGATCTATACAATATTATTCACTTTTTAATACAAATTTGTTCTAGGAACAAATAATATAGCTCATTTCTTAAGAATGGTCTACTTTAATTTCAAAAAGGAACCCGATAAAATATTTTATTTAGCATTTTAAGTGGATTCCACATAATGAAACTAAATTGAAAAAATATTGAAAACTAGCAAATGGTAGCTGATGGTCAATACATACCTGATTTACTGTTCTATAATTCTTATTTAATTTCAAGAGAATATGTAAACTACAGCATTACAGTAAAATTTCAACTTTTTATCCCAAGCCCAGTTAAAAGGTAAATCTTAAAAATTAATTACAGTTAATCAATATTTAATCTTTCTTTTTTAATATTTTCTACTGGCTTTATAAAACTTCTCCTTCTGTTGAATAAGTGCATAGCTTAAATAAGCATCTCAGCTTTAAGTAAATCAGCAGCAGTAATAATATGTTACTATGCCAACATTACCTACAAAACGGACATTTTTTTTTTTAAAATTCACACTAATCATATCACAATTATTTTTAAACTCATTGCACAAAGGAAAATACATGAAGCTTTATTTACAGTAGATAACTGCACTCAGCTTTATATGTAACAAAACTGAAACACATACATAAAAAATAATAAATGTGAGGTAGGGGACATAATATACAAAGGTATTCCTCATAGTTTTTCTACTCTTAAAAAATGGGAACAATACATCATGAATGCAGATACAGTGGAACCACTATCTGTATACCTTTCTTTGACTTTACCTTAATTTACATCTTGAAATAAAGTCTGCGAAAAATTTATTATTTGAGATTTGCTGTAATTTATTCATTCATAAATCTATATGAGTGACTAACATAAATACACTACAGTGCATAAGTATATTTGCCAATTACAGTATTTAATATATATTGTATTTTTATTACATAGTAGTTGGAATATACCTTCCCCATTTTCAAATTCTTATTATAACACATTTGCTCACACCAAAACTTATTACCTTTTAGCAAATCTATTCCCCATGAAGTAGAACATTATACTTTTATGAGTTCATTTTTATTGAAATATAAATCAACTTTAAACATATGAAATTAAATAAATAAAATAATCTAAATACTGATTTTCTTGAATAAATTATTTCTTTTATTTGGTGTTCTACAAATAAAAGGAAATGAGATTAATGAATTACTATTAAAAATAACTACGTTTTACTGTAATAAATAATTTACAAAGTATATAATTCATTTTTCATCACTTTTTTGCAATTCAAATATTTAAAAATTAGTATATTTAAAAATTAACTCTTCTGTTATTGGGACTGTATTCAGAAATGTGTGTATTGTGTGTATATATGTATGTGCATGTATACACTCACATACATACATACATCTATAATTATATACATGAACATGTATATCCATACAATTCTGAATCCAGTCCCCCAATAACAGAAGAGTACCAAAAATTATTATGTTTAACTATATTTAACTCCAGATTTAGAACTTTATTAGTATACCCATTAAATACTAATAGACTTGTCATGGAAGCACTCCAGCAGTTATGCATTTTTCCTGTGTTTAACATCAATACAAATCGTATTTTTTCTCAAACATTTCTGTAAAATCAATCTGCGCTAATGCATTCCTTTAAGAAAGTATATCTAACAATCATTACAATAAGTCTCTGAGATATACTGGTTCCACTGTAATATGCATGTGAAATACTAAATGAAATCGATACTATATTTTGATACTGTTATATACAAATATTATATAAAAAGCTAACTTTTTTAAGATAAAAAAAGATCTTAAAGATAAGCTAAGAATATACACATAAATTATGAAGCTTGAATCAAATGATAGCTCACGACTAGGTTAACACACACATACAATTTAATAAAAAAAAATAATTTAAATAAAAATAGACATCATGCATATTAATTAAAATTAAATTTTAATATTTTATATATAATTAGATGGCTAAAAAATCTTTGAATCATTACAGTACTATAAAATAATTAATATTGTGAATATTGACTTTTAAATGAATTTTAATTTAATGGAATATATTTTTGGGCCTCTTTAAAAGACCGGACAATGATCAATAAGTAATGAAATTTTTTTTACATTAATTTTAGAAACCTAAATTCAAATTTTAGAATAAAGGCTCATCCAAGTGAATCAAGCTTTAAAAAGTTGAATATAAAAAGAAATATTGGGATTGAGTTAACAAAGCAGCTGAAAACAATTATTAGGAAATTATAAATTGGCCATGAAAGCTGTAACAGTAAAAAAATATCAATTTGGCAATTATTTGACAGTTTAGAGCAAACGTGGGGGGCAGGGAATCTTACACCTAAGCTAATTTAAAATTAGGAATAGCTTTAAACATGCACTAAAATTTAATATGATAATATAACATAAAAATAATTTACTATTCATAAAATTAAAAACAATCAAGGCATGACATGTGAACATAAAATAAAACACTCATAAAAAAAACAAGAACATAGGAACTAATATATCTAGTATGTGAGCAATAGTGTTTTCTGCTACAAAGCACTATTTTGCAAATATAATGCCACAAAGCAAAAGGATAATTAAAAAATATTAAATGAAAAATAATGCCATAACTCTAGGCTCAGATTTTAAAGCTACAACTGATTATATATCTCACAGCATACAAATCTTTTCCATTCAGAAAATTCATTTCACACAACCATTTTAATGGGTCAGTAAATTAAGTCAGTACAAGAAGAAAAGGAATGTTATAGGAATATGCCATTTGCAAAAATATAGTTGCCGATTTAAAATTTAGGTTTTCAAAATTACAAGCTGTCTTTATTGTGATATTTATCAAATCGATTTTTTAGAAAGTAAAAATCACTTTTAAAAGCAAATATTCTTTTCGCTTTTTTATTCTCTTTAGTTGGCTGTGCATAACACATTTTTCAAAAATTACATAAAGGTGCTCTGCTGGAATGGAATGATAAAATGCTACACTAAAAGAATAAATTTCCAACACATAACAGTTTAAAAAAATTTCCCAAGTTTTTCTGATACTAAAATATATGGATAAATATGTGCATCAGAATATTCATGTTCTAAAAACAAGGATAATTTAGTTGAATCTCTAAAGAATCGTTTAATTATTTTTACAAAAAGAAAAGACTTAAAGAAAAACAACCCACATTAAGATATAATTTTTTAAAATTATTTCTTATGGGGAAATTGAATAAAACCAGAGCATTTTGAGCAAATTTACGTAATTTTGACCTCTGTACAAAATTTCTTTAATCCAGCCTATCATGAATATGAATATTAGTTTTCATATTGTTTCTAAAAATCCATTTTTACTGAATAAACCATCATTTTGATAAATTTGCATATAAAGATTTTTAAAAAAACTACATTACTAAAAAGGGAAGAAATAAAAAATACTTGAAATATCTATTCCAAGCTAGTTTTACATTATTATTATTATTTTGCCCTAATATACATTCAATTCATGAACAATCAAGAACAGTCATATATATTCTATGTCACATGAAGGTACTACAAAATTATAAACTTAAAAATATTTAAAAGTAAACATGCTTTTTTTTCTTACATATTTGTTAAGCTATGAAACTGCTACAGAAAAATGTGATAATACTTTTGTATAATAATACATATGCATTTATCAAATTTTACATAAATATTTCCAAAAATATATCTATATTTTTAAAATCACAAGTCATTTCATTCATAGCAGCTGTCTATAAACAAGTTAAAAATTATTATCTTATTATTGAAAATTTACTTATGTAAAGTATTTTTGCATGAATGGTTGCATCATTAAAGATATTGAGATTAAATAATATATTAATTTCTTATGTATGTAAAAGAATTCTTTCTTTAATATGGGAATGGATATTAAGGATTCCATATCATAAAGCAATAATTTACGATTGAAATAAATTAATAGAAATAAAACTCTGTATAGTTATATAGCAGCACAAAATAACTCGGATATAGGAAAGAATTTCCTTAAGGTAATTTCTAAAGTTAAGGCAGTTGATGGATGATATAGATAAATATTTCTATAACAGTTTTATTGACAAACTTTTAAAATGCTCTTATGAGTATATTCCATAGATTTCATAAAAATTCTCATTTCCTTCACAATGGTGTAAATCTGATTCTACTCATTTAGAACAATATTCAAAATACTTCTTTTCACTTTTTTGCAACAAATTAACATTATAAAAATGAATGGCTAAATGTATGTTTTTTCCTTTCGAGGTTATTTAAGGCCATATTTTCCACCTAATTTTCTAGCTCTTCATAATGATTTGTCTTTTAAGGCTATAGTTGTTAATTTTTTAACTTTACTCAATCAGATTTGCAAAAGTTCAGTAATATAAGAAAATATTTCATGTTACATTATCATAACAATTATCAGATTATCAATGTATAAATATGATGGGTAGCATATGTTTCATTTAAAACTATTCCCTTAAACATATATTTTTCATGTATACATGATTAATTCCTTCACATATACATATTTAATTACATTTTACTTTGAATAGCAAGGAAAACATCATCCCGTTTATGCTATATTCAACAAATTACTAATACATAAATACTATGTATCAATTCAAACAAAACATACAATCTAGGAAATACAAATTATGATTAATGTCATGCATTTGAAATTAACATACAGGTAAACGAAATTTCATAAAAATTTCAGTTAATATCCTAACAAACAGCTATTGCATAGAAATTACATTATTTGCATGAGGAATAAAAATATGAAAGCTGAATACATAAAATTATCACTAAATTTGAATTTTTTATGCTTTACAAAAATACGTTTATCAAAGTCAAAACACTAATGAAGACAACAAATAGCATACGAAGTTGTATTTCACTTTGATAAAAAAATTCTCAATGAAAAAATATTCAGTGAAACAAGAGCACTTAAGTTGATTTTCAAACGGTGGCCAATGTCAACAAACATTCGCTTCACGTCATGCAAATGTGAAAAAAATTGAGAATGATTTTAGTACTTACAGCTTATTTAAAAAGACTCACAGATCTTCTGGATATGTTGGAAATGGAGTAACTAAAATTTCGCATCCCGATCGAACATGGTCCATAACTTGCTGTTTCAGTTGACAAACATGCTCGCGGAGTTTAGTAACGTGATTATTTAGTTCAGCATTTTCATTTTTCAAGAGAGCGACTTTATCTTCTAGCCTGGCTATCCGCTCAAGTTTTCTTCGTCGACATTTGCTAGCAGCTATACGATTCCTCAAACGTTTCCTTTCTAACTTTAGCCTTTCTTGATCTTCCATATCAATGGGAGACTGCGGTGGGGATGTCCCAATACATGGGACGGTTTGAGGCTCCTCTTTAATGGAGACGATAGGTTCCAGACTATAATATCCATTATTTACTGGAGGAAAACAGTTCGAATTCATTGTGGACGAAACCATAGGATTACAGTTGACATTTATTGAAGACAAAGGTTGGGGATATCCATACGAATCCACCATAGGTGCCGTCGAACACGGTAATGAAGACGGAGGCATCAGGTTGCAACTCGAACTATTACTTACAGATACAATATTAATGTCCGATTGAATAGTCTGTGGTTGTTGATATAAAGACACGTTGATATTATTGCTGTTAGAAGTGGCAGCTTGAAGTCCACTTAAGGCATCAGTAAAATCTCTAGTATACTGCTCTCGATCATCGTTTTTAGTATACATGCATTGGTTTGGTGTAGGTGTAGCTCCAATTAAACCATGTTGAGCAATTATTAATTTTTCTAATTCTGGAGAGCCTAACTTGCACATATTCATGTCCGGCGAAGTAAGGACCGAAGTCATTCTCTGCTTTTTACTGCTCTTTGCAAAATTTAGATCTAAAGTCATAGGCCGCTTCATCCCGCGTATTTCTTCTTTACCGCGGTATCGTGAATCTTCATAAAATGTCGTGTCCATCCCCTGACATTGGGATGTACGCGTCTGTAAAATGCAGGACGCCGTAATTGCTTTTTGCCTACCGGCACTGATACGAACTTCCAACGAATTAAAACTTTGCAACTCGCAACAACACAACCTCAACGCTAGCGCGACTCTAGTTTACTGAGTAAAAAAGCGTTCGCAACTTCTGAGCGGTCGATAAAAACAGACCACAGCGGCGCTATGCTACTACGTTATGAGTCACCATCAGGCCTTTTCTACCACCTACCTCTGTCTAGGGTTGCTATACTGATAGCGCTTGAGGTCTACCCTCTTTCGCCAAGTGCGATAACCGTGAGCAGAAATTTGAAGCCAAGCTTATCTCAGTTCCAACAATGCGTTTTATTCAGCAAATTAATTTTTCACCATTTTGCCAGAAGCATGTACGACTGAAGATTAAACAGAGACTGCAAAAGAGATTTTAAAAATCTGGTTTCTTGGATCTTTTATTCTAATTATTCGCACTGGAAAACTGATCTGCTTTGTAAAAAAATAATAATAATAATAATAAAATTAAAAAACAATCAGTTCAATGGAAAATTAAAAAAATCATCCATACAACTGAAAAGCAAACTAAATTTATTATTAATAAAACTACAATCAGTTAATAAATAAGATTGTTTTTCAGTTAAAGCAAATTCTTCTCTTTTTCAGTCTCATGTTAGTATTAAAAATAATTAATTTATAATAAATTAATTGAATTAAACCTAGCATAATTTAATACTTATTGAACATTTTTCTCAATTGCGCACCTAAATCAGGATATTAAAAGATTCAACATCGTTCTGATCCTTTCTAATCGGTGAGACTGTAATCTAACAGGATATTCGAATAATCGAGATAAAAACTTTTTAATTTCTTCTTTATCTTATACTAAGCGTATAATTTACCTTAACTTGTAATTTTGTTTCTCACATTTGATTCGAAAAAAAAAAATATTAAAAATAAAAAAATCTGAAAAGTTTCAGATTATAACAGTCGCCGAAAAGGGTTCTCGACAACTCGAGTGATATCTTTCCCTGGGAAGAATGTCTTCGTGGAGGACTTTTTAGAAAATACCATCTCTCTTATCCACGTTACACTCCCATGCAATCAGCCCACGGCTGAAAAGCCTCCACAAGATTTAGCCAGATCGAAACTATGCGTGCTTTCACCTGTCATTGGGCCAGAATTGGCAAAGAATAAGAAAATATTTCCATAAATATTAATCATTAGCTACCATATGAATTGCATAAAAATTACTGTTTCGGGGGGTCATTAACATTAACAGTATTATGCACAGTAGATATATTTAACAGTTCATTTAAAACTCAGCAATCACCGAGTGGATGAAACCACTGGGCACTGGTAGTTCGAACCAAATTTAAAAGACTCAGGTGTTTGTGAAATATAGGATAGTTAGTGAATTTTGCCTCTCTTTAGTATTCGAGATTATGCATATAGCTTACTAAGATGCACTTGAATGTTCTTACATATTAAACGGAATAAATAAATTATACTTTAAAAGCATTGTTGCCGAAGATAAAAAGCATTTATTTTCTTAGTTTAGATTTTAAAACAATTGTCACCTCGTGATTCTTCTGTTATCATCAGTTTATTTATTTATTTTTTTTTAATGACAAATTCCTTTAAAATTGTGTCTCATGTGTAAAATGCGTCCCTTAAAGATGTACCATTCAGGGCGGAACGCTCCCCCCCACACACTTCAGCTGCGTAACTGACGATAAGGTGACGTTCGAGGGTTACTTGCATCCGTGAAATCAGTTCCTGCATTGAGACGAATTTTTAGGAAACGGAAGCATATTTTTTCCTCTTCCATTTTATTTTCCAGGCAAAATATTCCATTATTTATAGCACTTTTATTAGTAATGTTGTTTATAAGCATTAACAGAGAGCAAACACATTTCTCAGTATTTTAGCTGCAAAATTTCAAGGTTTCTATATCATAAATTCATTACCCTTTAAAGAGAAAAAAGGCTAATCAAGTTTTCACAGAAAAATTCGAAAATTTTATCGTTTTTATCATAAGCCATAAATACGTTTCAGAATTAATTGTCATTAATGTTTAATGAATGGCTGCTTGTGTGTTCAATAACATTTGTTTCTGCTTTTATACTTCATTAGATATTTGTATATTTGTTTATATTTCGTTTATTCGTTCATTTGTTTATATATAAATTATGCTTCAAAAATATTTCGTAATGTAGCATATTCATGCTGCAAATTTCTTACTCTTTTCATCTGTATTCGTTTATTCGTTCACTGTTTATATTTCGTTTATATTCGTCTATTCGTTTATTTGTTTATAAATAAATCCTGCTTTAAAAATATTCCGTGATGTAGCATATTCATTCTGCAAATTTCTTGCACTTTTCATTTATATTCGTTTATTCGTTCATTGTTTATATTCTTCTATTTGTTCATTTGTTTGTACAGAAATTATGCTTTATAAATATTCCGTAAGAAAATTTTTGGAACCAATATATCCAAAAATATACATTTAATTGGCCAAAATATTTTTAATGCTGTACCTTCTAATTAACTCCCAACACGTGCAATACTTCTAGGATTTTAAAAGAGCTGATGCTAATCTAACGTAGCGCATAAGAAATATTATTTTTCTTCAGATTGTGTTACAGTATTTTGCTCATAATTGTAACAAAGTGAGTCATTTAAAAATAATATACTTCCTGGAAGATTTTGATAGTTAATCATGACAGATTGCTGGCAGAATATTTTCTGTTTAAGTTATTGCTTTTTCGGAGAATTTCATAAGCACAAATACAGTTAGCGTAATTAATAAAATAAATTTCTAAATTATGTTACTTGATTAAGGCGAAGCAATTCGAGGACTATCTGCCCATGGAGGACAATATCTTCGTGGAGGAATTTTTAAGGAAAACTGGATTTGAAATTAGTAAAAGCTACCTAAATATAAAACATGAACTATGCTACACAAGCTCATGAATATTTTGTATTTTGTGATCACAGAATTTTTCTTAAGTAAGTAATTTTGCGAGATATTTGCATAACTTTATTACTTAATTTAAGGTTTCGCTGTAAAGCATACATAATTTGCTTTGTTACAAAACATGGAAACGGAAGGGGGGGGGATTTTTTTTAAAGAATATCCTGTGTTTGAGAAGTAACAAATAGTTTTATTTAATTAATTAAGCAAATAAACTAATAAAAATAATAATCAAAAAATAAAAATATAACGAATAGGCCAACAAGGACATAGACAGCCAACACGTGCTTAAATTCCTCGAATGTGTAATTCATGTCGTCTGCCAAGACAGTGGTTTCAAACTGGCGGAGCGCGAGCTGCATGCGTGACCCGAAGCAACTTTATATTGCCTGCGGAGTCATTTCTATTATAGTATATTGGTTGCAAAGATTTTAGAATTTTAGTTATTTGAAGTCCCGATTTTACATTATTTTCATTTCCACTAAAAAAAAAAAAAAAAAAAAAAAAAAAAAAAAAAAAGTGAAAAAATGTGAATAACGCATCTGAAAACCTATAAATGAAGCTAATTAATTTATAGCGTGATATAAATCTTATTCAAAGATTTGAAGATACAGATTTTTTTTACTTTTATTAAGCTTTGTCAAAAAATAAATGCACTCAGTTACCAATTTTTGCATAAAAAATAATCGTTGTGGTTTGGAAAAGGTATGTGAAGAGATCCCCCCCCCACACACACAATTGAAAGCTATTAGATAAAGAACCCGAATCACCGATGAAGATTTACAAACCTTGATGGAGATAATTTTTAGTAATTTCTCTCGAAGGTTAGAAACTTTATCAGAATGAAAACGCCATTAAGTGTTAAGCTGTAGTAACAAACAAAAGAAATTCATAAAAAAAGTTAAAAAAATTTTTAATTAATTTTATATTATGCCCAAAGGAGCATTTATTTAACGTTTTGTGTATTACCTTTATTTATTTTGAACATCATGTTCTTCGTACTTAAACCATAAAATTCATTTCAACAGCAATATCACAAAATATTTAAAAAGAGCATATCTTTAGAATACACAGTGCCGCGCGCTGGAGATAAAATTGCTTTTATTTCGCACAGTGTTGCCAATGCTCGCTTTGAAATTGTTGAGTTTGTTAATCAAAAGTTCGTTAAGGGTTAACAAAATATAAAATAGATAAGAAATGAAAATCGATGAAAAGTTTAGTAAGAAATGAAGAATTTATTAAATATTTACACGCAAACATTTGTATTCTTATTTACGTGTTGAAGAAAAATTTAATACATAATAAAGAAACAAACTAGTTTGATATTATTTATTCTGAAGTTTTGTCCCACCTGGAAAATTTTGTCTGAAAACTTTGAAAGTTTTCATAGGTTGCTTATTTTCAGTTTAAATTAAAGTTAAGTTAATTAAGCATGTTAGAATTAATTAAAAGAAAGTTCAGTCTATGAATTTAGTATTTATCTGCTAATATATTTGAATTAAAAAGGTGTCTTACAGGTATCAAACATTAGATTTCAGACAGAAAATAATTATAAATTTGAATTTTTTTTATTTGCGATATTATTATTATTTATTATGTTGAGTTTTGATATGCATTTAGTAAACGAAGTTTAAAATTTATTTTAAATATTTTTAATTTTGTTAATGAAATTTTTTGATTAAAAAAAGAAAAATAGTAATCCTGCCCGTCATCTGTGTTCCAATCGTGTTAACCACTGCCATTAAAAAACAAATGAAAACATGCAAAAATTAAAACGTTTCTAGTAAACATATTACACTTTTACTTATTAATTAATATGAAAGTATCGCATGTCTACTATGATGAAAATTTTCGGAAGGATTGATGAAATATATTACTATTAATGAAAGTTCTAAACCTAAAGAGGTTTTAAGATACCTCTTAGGTGTTCTTACAGACGTGAGTCATTCCGCTTATAATTCGTGGTAAACTAGCCTGTAACTAGAATAGCCGTTAGGGAGATAACTCTAGAATAAAAAGACCATATTCTTTTACAATGCTGTTGTGTTCTGTAGTATTGCATCTGTCAACAAGGTTCCCCTTTTTTGAAAGGTGACTCAGTAACACCTTATAGTAATTGTTCCCCTTCTTTAAAGGTGACCTAGGAACTCGAACTAAGCGGTTGCTAGGGGAAAAAAATTCACTTATCGTAAATTCTGTGTAACTAATAAC